GAATTGGCTTCTCAAAACTTTGTTATTTCTGACGAATCTCGTTTACTTACATGGTTTAGTTTGAGAATCAAAATCATCTAATACAGTAAAAGAAGGTTTTTTTTTTTTCCCCAAATTTTTAAGATTGATTTTCAGCTGGTAAATAGAACTTTTGTAAAGCAGCATATGCTAATTAATGTATTGTCTATTTATTTTTATGCAAATTAACTGAGGTTTATATGTATATAAACAGTGTTTGTTTTACTTCACCCAATACCATGTACCTTAAAAAAAACAGTGCTCGTTTGGATTATAATGTACACATTAAATATTATTTTGAAGAGTATAAACTAAATTTTATTCACTAATATTTGAAAAATCACAATCAAAATCTATTTGAATATAATTTAAAATTCATAATTATAATTTTGAGTAAAAGTGAAAAAGTCACTATTTCATCGAGTCAAATCATAAATTGACACACCCCGATTGATTGCAAGTTTGTGGCCTATCAGTAATTGCAAAGGTATACCAACTACCAAATGAAATAAGATGAGTTCAAAGTTGCTACACTGCTGTCGGCTAGGGTAACAAATTTATTAACAAGTAATGATATAAGGCCATTTTTTTTTCAAACACTTTATTAATATTTAAACTTTACCGTACAATATCATCTATATATATATATTCACATATTGATGAATTAAACATGTTGTCTCACTTAAATAAAAAAAATATAAAAAAAATTATTAACCTTATAAAAAATATATATTATAATTTATATTTTAGAATTCCAATTATATCCAATACTAGAATTATTAAAATGAGTAATTTGACTTAGTCAAAGATAACCTATTACAGATTGAGTAATACATGGACTAGTCCAATTCGACTCACTTTTAGGTAAGTTTAAAAAATTAACTTTGTTCAATCGATCTATCACATATTGATGAATTAAACATGTTGTCTCACTTAAATAAAAAAAATATAAAAAAAATTATTAACCTTATAAAAAATATATATTATAATTTATATTTTAGAATTCCAATTATATCCAATACTAGAATTATTAAAATGAGTAATTTGACTTAGTCAAAGATAACCTATTACAGATTGAGTAATACATGGACTAGTCCAATTCGACTCACTTTTAGGTAAGTTTAAAAAAATTAACTTTGTTCAATCGATCTATCACATATTGATGAATTAAACATGTTGTCTCACTTAAATAAAAAAAATATAAAAAAAATTATTAACCTTATAAAAAATATATATTATAATTTATATTTTAGAATTCCAATTATATCCAATTCATAATTCATTAAGTCTTTTAGGATCAGTCTTTCAAGTTGCAAATTTTTATTTTTACTGTTTAGTAACTCTTAATCAGATTCCGATAAATAAAAATTTACAACTTAACAAATTTAAGGAAACTTTTTAAATATTAAAATATTATTTAATAAAATGTAAGAAAAAGAAGAAGAATAAACATTATTCACAATTAACTAAATCAATTTATAAAACTAAAATTATTGTATAAAATATTAACAAATAATATCAAATTAATACTAATTATTATAATTACAATTAATATGTACAAAATTTGTTAATAATATAAATATATAATCACATAAATTAATATTTAAAAACCTAAAAAATAAAATAAAAATAAAAAGTATATCAAGTGAGTCATCTGTAAACCATTCCAGCTCACCACAAATTGACTCATGATGAATTGAGCCAAAAAAAATTTTATAACTGAAACAAACTAAATTTTTTTAGTTCAATCCGACTTAAACTAGTTCAAACTAACTTATTAGCTAGTTTCAGTCGAATTTGATAATTCTAACTTTTACTATATAATGAGTGAAATATATATATATAGTATTTGGAGAAGTCCAAAAGGGCCCGAGACACATACCTGCATGTTACCATGAAAGAACAAATAACTACGGATCCTAGTCTTGGAATTATTATATCATTCACATTTCACAGTCCAGTGTCAAAGAGATTGATTACAAGGATATATAAGCGGTTGGCACAAGTGCTGTCCAATCAAAGCTTCACGGGTGCCCTACACCAAAGTTATGCAGTCAACATTATCATTCTTACTTTAATCATTTCTTCAATTCCTATCTAAAACCTTAGCATAATCTCCTCCGTTAAGCCCCCAAAATTCACGCGGCTAATTTTGTGTCCATCTTTACTCTCTCTAGTCTCTACCACTGCTCATTCACCACCACACACAACACCTAGCCTATCCATTCACTAGCCACTGTTTTTTTTTGTCTCTTTGAGACTAATTATTGACCTGCTTTTGAATTGTTTAATATAAGCCATCGCATCAATATTGATATTAAATTTTTAAAATTGCACTTATATAAATAAAGTTTACAAAATGTGTCTAATGACAAGGGAGCAAAATAGGCCAAGTTATTATTCATTTAGTACCCCACTTCATCATGCAATTAAACAGTTGGCAGTTATCATGCAGTATGTTGCACCCGACTTTAATCAACGAATTATTGAATTGACCTTAATTATTGAAGAAAAGCCACCGATCTGTCCCTTCCTGTGTCCTTATTCTATCTATATATTAAACAAACTTTAAGACCCCATAATGCGACACTATCAATTCCATTATTAAAGGGATAAGCCTCAACCTTGCAAGCCAGCACAACCAAAATTCACCAAGTTAATTTCTAGTTGTTAGTTATAGCCAAGGTCTTCTTCACTACAAGAATGTCTCAGGGAAGAGGCAGTGCATCTTTACCTAGGCTTGTGGTCACTGTGGTTTCACTACTGTGCGTGTTAGTTCTAGTGGAACATGCCAATGCAGCAATTTACTCCGTTGGAGGATCTGGCGGATGGACCTTCAACACTAACACTTGGCCCAATGGAAAAAGATTCAGAGCTGGCGATGTGCTAGGTAAGTTAATTTAATTAGAGTATGTTTGAATATAGATTATAAAAATGTTTTTGAAAATTTCTTTACTGAATATAAATTTATTTATTTTTTTAGGAAAGAAGCTATTAAAAACTATTAGATTTGTGTTCTAAACGTGTCACTTTGTTAATTTTCTTTAATATGTAAAATGTGGTAATTGTTGCAGTGTTCAACTATGACTCAACGGCACACAATGTGGTTGCTGTGGACAGAAATGGATACAACAGCTGCAAGACACCATCAGGTGCTAAAGTGTTCCGTACAGGGAATGACCAAATAAAACTAGCAAGAGGGCAGAACTACTTCATATGCAACTACCCTGGTCACTGCGAATCTGGGATGAAGGTTTCCATTAATGCAGCATGATAGTATTGAATTAATGCATGAATTGAATCTAAGAGACAAGTTAATGGTTAATTAGCTAGCATTAATGCTAGATATGTTGGTGTGTGATCATGTATGTATGTACTTTATTATATGAAGCTGCTATGTATGTATATTAATGATCACAATAATTTTGTGAATCAAGTGGGACTGAGCTGGCTTTCTAGTGTGTTTGTGTGGTGAGAGTACGATAATGGTCCATTAGTAGTTAGTCACGGGCTCTTGTTACACACTGGATCTGCATATTTTGAAATTATTCCAAGTCTGAGACCCAATTATATCTGTATTATGTGTGTCGGTGTCACGGTGAGTGGTTCAGTGCTTGTGTATTACTGTATTTGATGGCCTCAATAAATTTAATTTAATTTCTACATTGCTCCATTAGTCCACTTACAAAGGATGACGCCAAAAGTTTAAAGCTATATATCATTATATCTAGATCCGTCAAGGGTTGTTTTTAGTATTTTCTTGTGAGAGGAATATATAGAGTTATATATTATTTTTTATTTATGACTCTACATTATTATTTATTTATTTATTATCATTACTTAAAAGGATTTTAAATAATAGGACATGTGTGTATTTTATAATTTTTTTTTCTAATGATGTGCGATTTATGGAAAATCTATCTTGCATTCCATTTTTTTTTATTGTTGTATATATGATTATGAGTTATTAATTGTCATTAAATACGACTTTAACAATACTAAAATGTTATGTTTTGGTATTTGTGTAAAAAGAATATACTTTATTAAGAGAAGAATTATATTTTATTATTTTTTAACTTATTTCATACATAATTTCATAGTGATTATTTTATATTAATTATGTCTACTTTAAGTTTATATTATACTTTTATAATTTTATTTTTGATTTTTATTGAAATTTTTTTTAATCAATGTATATATTTTATAAACTCTTATTTTTTGTTTTATTTTAATAATTTAGGACATAATTTATATCTATATGAATTTAACTATATATATATAACTATATATATATTGGCGACTACTATAACTCGAAGTTGTTGTGTCTTTCTACATGGAAATTCAACAAGTGCTCATATCTACCCTTCCGCCAATTATCCATCACGTGGGGAATAATTAATTAATATGGTTTGAATTTGTCACAAGAAAGATGAATCGTACTCAGAAATCCTAGCTAATTGAATGACATCAGATATCATAATCGATTAATTGGTCCAAATATTCATCTTTACTTTCTTGTATGATCTCAGATCTGTTACTTGTTTTGAAAGAAATGATCATTAAGCACTATGAATTGTTGCCGGTAAATAATATTTTACTTTGCCATGTTCTAGATAGAATCCGTATCAAATTGAACCGTGACAGTTATTATGTAATTTGCACTAAAATGATAATTATTTTTTTAGTTATGTTATTTTTATCTAATGCACTAAACTAATTAAAATTAATAATATTTAGTTCTCTAAATATGTCTTTCAATAATTTTGTTATGCTAACAGTTTAATTACTTTCCTTTTCTTGTTGATATTATTTGTTATTTTACATTGATTTAGGGTGTATTTAGCTTGATGTTTGCAGACGTTTAGAAAAATGCTCTTAATCGTGATTTGACTAGAAACAACTCCCAAGCAGCCTCTGTTGAATTGAAAATTCCAATCTAAGCTTTAATACAAATTTATATTTAATATAAAGTTTTTACGCATAAAACACTTTACCTCAAACTTGCTTTATATTAAAATTAATTTGAAAAATTAAACAGTAAAAATTAAAATATTTTTATAAACGTCCAGCTAAACACAATTAACGCAATTAGGTGTACGAAATGATTATTTAACATACATAACCATGTATACACCGAAAACATTTGACAGATTTGTTTTGGGGGTTCAAAATCTAGTTGGATCCTCACGAGTCTATTTTTGCGGGCCAAGGCCCGAAATGAAACGATACAGCTGATCCTCATACTTTTGGGTTCACAGTGTTAGAGGCTCAAATAAATTAGCTCGTGATATATACAATTTTTTTTTAATAAGTACACCTTCTTTTTCTTAAAAAAAAAAAAATTAAAATATTTTTAATTTTTTAATTTTACATTTTCAACATTCAATTTAACACTTTTTTTTTTCCACATATCTCATTCCCTTATCTTTTCGGTTTTCACGTGTACCTCTTTAACTTCCTCCCACTCTCCATTTATTTCAATAGATAGTTTTAATTATTTCAATTTTTACATTATTCTCTTCTCCCATTCTCTTTCAATTTTTACGCTATTACTTTCTCCCTCCCCTCTTTTGATTTTCACACATACTTGGGATGTAGAATTGGTTTTCGACAGCATTATAGGCACATGTGCCTTCCTTGATAGTATTGAAGGTGTCTAACCAAATATGTATTTTTTTCCTTCAAGCATTTCCCCTAATTTACAGGTCTATAAAACACAATATTAAATTTAATGTTTCAAATAATTTTAATATTATGGAAAATGCTTTTTGCCATAGTGAAATAAGTGTTCTGAAAGGTATTTTTTGAAAATTTATTTTTACTTTTAGAAAGTACTTTTTGAAATATTAAATTTACTATTTTGAAAAGAACTTTCCAAAATTATGTAAAACAAAATGCATCCAAAAAGTACTTTTTATAATATTAATTTTACTACTCTTGAAAGTATTTTCTAAAACACTAAAATTAGTGATCCAAAAAGTACTTTCCAGAAATGTGTTATTTTACAAAATTATGGAAAGTTCTTTCCGGAACAATAAATTTAATTTCTAGAAAGTATTTTCAGAAGTGTGTTATTTTACATAATTTCATAAAGTTCTTTTTGAAATAGTAATTTAGTGTTTTAGAAAGTATTTTTCAGAAGTATGTAAAAAATATAATTTTGAAAAATACTTTTCAAAAAATCTTTTTAGAATAATAAAATTAGCATTTTAGAAAGTATATTTTGTAATACTAAATTTAATGTTAGGTTTTCTAGAGGTGTGAAAGTGGAGAAAGTGTTTGAAAAAAAACGCGCATCTGGCTCAATATACCTTTGAAACCATCAAGGAAATTCCATGTGACAACAACATTGTTGCACACTAATTTTACAGTCCGAGTACATGTGAAAACTGAAAGAGGTGAGGGAGAAAAAAACTAATGTGAAAACTCAAATAATTAAAACTACCTATTAAAATAAGTAAGGAATGAGAGAAGATAAGAGGGTGCATGTAAAAACAGAAACGGAAAAGGTAGGAGTGTGAAAAAGAAAAAGAAAATGCTAAATTGAAAGTTGAAGGAGTAAAATTAAAAAATTAAAGAATAAAAAAATTAAAAAATATGCTTATAAAAAAAAGGAGGTGTATATATCATTAACCAATAAATTAGGAATGCCATTGAGTTGGAAAAGGAAACAATTAATTCTAATATTGACTAATGAATAACTCTAAAATCATTTGACAAATGAATTAACCCAAGCTATTCTCAATCTGTTGAAAAATTAATTCGATTGGATTGGATCGTGTGACACCCTGTACCTCACACATCATAATACACGAATAAATAAAATTGAATAGAAATGTCTTTCATAAATAAAACTCGAACATGTTCAACTTAAAAGGTATCATATTTTTAATAACAAAATCAACTAAAATCCCAATAAAATATATTACAAGAAAACTAACAATTATTTCAAAACATGACAAAAGAAGATAATCTCTAATTGAATCTCGATATCACATTCTATTAGAGAATAACCCTTCTATGAAGACTAAGTCTCGTCACTAACATTCTCAACATCATATTAAAGATCACCAGCAATAACATACAAGAAGAACAACATAAAACAAGGAGAGTCAGAAACATCTTACTTTGTCTCACAGCATTAGATGTGGTTGGACAGCTAAACACAAACAAGACATATACAACATAACATAAGCATATCAATCATATAACATTTTCCATTCATTCACAATGTAACAACTAAATATCACATAACATTAAGATGCATCATGCAATGGATATGGACTACATGTTAGCATACATATGACGCTAGTAAAAATATCACATATCACACTTGTGCATTGTTGTTAGAAATATATGAAGAGTGGCTTAGGAGTACATATCAAGTCACACCCTGAATACACTCTCACTAGGAGGATATACTACCAGGGTTTGGTTAAGATAGCTAAGTTGCGCAAGATACATCCCATGATCATGGGAGTAGGACTAAGACTTCCAAACCGAGTTATCTCCAAGGTTGGTTTCCAATTTTTTATAAGGGACCTTTCCTGATGGTGTATTTTATATCATATCCTTAAAAATACTTATATACATATGATGCATGTCAAACAATCTTTATGCATAACAACTCATATGATCTCACTAATTCACGCATCACATGTCTTATCATATCACATTATCATATCATTTCACTATCAACTGATCTCAATACAACAATTAACAATTCAACTATATCCATTAAATATTAGCAATCAATGACATAAGAGCTCATGTCACTACAACTCATACATAGCTCACAATCATACACTATTATACTCACATATCACAACTAGTTATCAATATTAATTAGTACAATGATTACACATGTTTGCGCTTTAAACACAACAATTACACAACATCCGATACACCTCAAGATAGATTAATCATTATGAGATCGTCTAATCATATGTTAACACCTTGACTATAGTTATTAAGTTTTCAAATCAATAGCTTAACTAGTCTAACAATCTTATCAATATCATATATTAAGTCCTTAGACATCGCTATTATCAAAATACCTCAAGTTATTAACAATCAACTTACATCATAACTTATTAACAATTATTTTCTAGCATAATTAGTCCTTCCTAAATATTAATATAAATACCTCAAACCATTTATAAGATCAAACGCTTTCAGAGTAAAGTTATTTATCATCCTGATTCACAAATTACATTTCCACAACTTAACCTTTTAAGACATTGTGTGATCCAAATGCCTTATCTAGAGCAATATATATATATATATATATGATATATATATATATATATGATATCAAGTTGATCTTAATTTTGTTATAAAGTTAAAACAATTATCTTCAACTTCTATGTTGACTTCAAGAGCTAATTATGTCACCTATTATTTTTAAAAAAATACAAAACTGTAACATTTCAGCTTAAATCTAATAGTTTGACCTTTGGTTACTAATTTAATCATAACTTGAATTCTATACCTTCTTTATAAGTGAATCCAATGACATTTGAAAGGGGCTACAACTTTTATAAAGATTTCAAAACTTAATTCTATCATTTAAGTCTATTCGAAAGGCTAACAAAGTATGCATATTACATTTCACACATAGAATGTGAGATTCAAATTTTAAATTCCTTAACATTGTTATGTGATT